GTATTTTTGTTGACCCCTGAGTTATTTAGAAGTATGTTTCTTAATTTCTAAACCTAGAGATTTGTGCTAGTTATGCTAGTTATCCTTTTATTGTGAATTTTTAACTTAATAGCTCTTTGGCCACAGAATGAGGATTGTATGATTTCAGCCCCTTGAAATTTTCAGAGACTTGCTTTATGAATAGGGCTTAGCAAACTTTTTCTGTAAAGGACCAGGTAGTAAATCTTTTAGGCTTTGTGGCCCACACAGTATCTGTCACAGCTACTCAGCTCTTTTCTGTGTGAAAACAGGTATAAGCAATATGTAAGTGAAGGATTGTGGCTCTGTTCCAGTAATACTTTATAGTTTTTGACTGATTTTGAATTTCATATAATTATTACATGTCACAAAATATTTTTTTTCAACCATTGAAAAAAGTAAAAACCATTCTCAACTTACAAGCCATACAGAAAAGGCACCAGGCTTGGAATCAGACCCCATAGGCTCTATTTGTGGATCTTTGGCCTAGAATATGGACAATTTTTTAAAAATATTCTATGGGGATCGGTTGGCCTGGTGGTGGGTATTAAGGAGAGCATGTACTGCATGGAGCACTGGGTGTTATACGAAAACAATGAATCATGGATCACTACATCAAAAACTAATGATGGTGTTTTTGATGGTGACTTGTATGGTGACTAACATACATAATAAAATTAAATTAAATTAAAATATATATATATATTCTATGCATGCTTGAAAAGAATGTGTCTTACAATCGTTGGGTGAAATATTTTGTATGTATCCATCAGGATGAGTTTGTTGTATTGTTTAAATCTTTTATATTCTTACTTATTTTTTAGAAAATATTTTTAATATAACAATCAAGAAAAGGGCACAAATTTAAGTGTACAGCTTGATGATGTTTTCAAAGCAAATGATTTAATGCTTCCCAGATGTAAACATAGGATATTGCCAGATGCCAGAAATCTCCCTACACTCCCTCCCAATCACTAATCCCCTGAAAATGTAGCCACTGTTCTGACGTCTGCCACTGTTGATTAGTTTTACCTGCTTTTGAACTTTATGTGAGTGGAACTACGTAGTGTGAACTTCTTTGTGTTTGTTTTTTTCACTCAGCATAATATTTGGGTCATTCCCATGATGTTACATGTAGTTGTGGTTTGTTCATTTCATTACTGTGGAATTTTCTGTTGGTTGAATATACCACAAATTTTTCATTCATTCTCCTATTGATGGACATTGAGGATATGTCCAGTTTGGTGAATATATGTGACTTGCCTTTTCACTTTCATTATGAGCAGAATATTTCATATTTTTATTAAGTCAATTTTTTTTCTTTTATGATTGGTGCCTTTTATAACAAACCCTTGCCTAACCCCAAATTGTGAAGATTTTCTCATATGTTTTCTTCTGGAAACCTTGTGGTTTTAGCTTTACTCTTTTTTTTTTAAGATTTTATTTATTTATTTGACAGAGAACACAAGAAGGGGGAGCAGCAGGCAGAGGGAGAAGGTGAGGGAGAGGGAGAAGCAGCAGGGAGCCCGATGCGGGACTCTATCCCAGGACCCTGGGATCATGACCTGAGCCAAAGGCAGACTCTTAACTGACTGAGCCACACAGGTGCCCCTTAGATTTACTATTTTGATCTATAATCCATCTAAATTTTTGTGTGTGGTATGAGGTAGAGGCCAAGGTTCACTTCTGAAAATGGCTATCTGCTTGTTGCAGTGCCTTTTTTGAAACAGACTTTCCTTTCCCTATAAAATTGATATGCTGCTTTATTGCAAATCACCTGGATCTATTCTTGGACCCTATATTCTGTTCTACTGATATATTTTTGTATCCTGGTACCAACACATGATATATTAATTATTATAGTTTTATGGTTTGCCTTGAAATTAGGTAATATAAATCTTACTGTCTTGGCTAACTTAAGTTTTTTCATTTTAATATAAATTTAGAATGAGCTTATCTATATCTATAAAAACAACTTGGTAGAATTTTGATTTGGTTTGTGCTGAATCTATTGCTCCATTTCAGCAGACTTGTTATCTTAACAGTATGGAAACTTCCAATCCATGAACATTGTACATCTTTCCATTTTTTAGGTTGTCTCTAATTTACCTCAATAATGTTTGGTAGTGTGTGTGTGTATGTGTGTGTATCTTTTGTCAAATTTATTACTAGGTATTTGATGTTTTTGATGCTATTATGAACAGTATTTGTAAATGTCATTTTCTAGTTGTTGGTGGCTAACATTCAGAAGTATAATTGATTTGAGGGTAAATTGTATCCTGTGACCTTACAAAATACGGTTAGTTCTAGTTAAATTCCTTTGGATAATCATGTTGTCTGTAAATAAAAATAACTTTACTTCTTTCTAATCTTTATGTTCCTTTCTTTTTTCTTCCTTTCTTTTATTTTCTTTATTGTAATGACTAGGAAAAGTTCAAAAATGTTGAATAGAAAAGGTGACATAGACGTCCTTGCCTTTTCAGATCTTAGATGGAAAACATTTGATATTTCACCATTAATTAGGTTACAATTTTTTTTCCTCTAAGATTTCATCAGATTGAGGAAGTTCTCTTCTATTCCCAGTTTGCTGGGAATTTTTTAAATCATGAATGAGAGTGGAATTTTATGTATGCTTTTTCTGTATCTATCTTCTTTATTTTATTAATGTAGTAAATTACATTAATGGATTTATGATTGTTAAACCAACCTTATTTTTTATGCAAAATACCACTATCAAGATACAGTGTCTTTTATATATATATTGCTATATTTAATTTGCCAAAAATTTGTAAGGTATTTTTACATCTTTGTTGAGGGATGTTAGTTCGTAGATTCCTTATGTCAGCTCCTTGTGTCTGCTCCTTTGGGCAGAGATAGTCTTCTGTTTACCATTGTATCCCCAGCCCCTCTCCCAATGCCAACCACAGAAAAGGTACTCCACAAATAAATAGTCTTTGACATTAGTTAAAAGACCTATGCTGGAGAACTGCATTTATTAAATAATTTAAATTATTTAAAATAACAATTAATTTCACCCATTCAGCCAGTATTTGCATTCCAGCCATGTGCCAGGTACAGTGGAGGTTTCTCTCCACCATTTCATTGGAGGTTTCTCTCCACCATTTCCAGCTACTCCTCCTCAATATTCTTTACTAATTCTTCCTCATGTCACCAACCTCTAAACATTGGAGGGCCACAGGATTAGTCCTTGAACCTCTTTTCCTGCTCATCTGATCATCCAGTCTCATGGCTGTAAACACCATCTATAAATAACTCTTATGAATCTCCAACGAGAGCTTCTCCCTTGACTTCCAGCCTGATCTGTCCGCTGCCACCCCCATACATCACACCAATATCTAATAGGCATCTCAAACTTAGCATGTTTAAAATTGAACTAGTGACCCTCCCTTTTGGTCTTCTCCGCTTCAGGAAAAGGTGGTTCCAACCTTCCAATTGCCAGGCATAAACCATGGCATCATCCTTGATGCCTCTTTTTCTCTCTCACTTCATTAATAATCCTCAGCAAATCCTGTCTGCTGTTATCAAGCTATCATCATCTCTTGCTTGGATCATTCACCAATTTGCTAACTGGTTTCCATAATGCTCACTTGTTGCAATTTTCCCAACACAACAGCCAGAACATACCTTTAAAATGTAGGTGAGATCAGATCTCCCACTTCCCTAAACCCTCCAGAAGGCTTTTATCTTGCTCAGAGAAGAAATCCAGAATCCTTTAAGGCCCTTCTTATTACCTGTCCTATGTTATTGCCTTCTGTGCTTTTTCTTGCTCACTCCGTTCCAGCCTCTGTGGCTTGCCTGCTGTTTCTTAACCATAGCAGTTCCACTCCCACTACAGGGCTGGGTATTTGCTGTTCCTCAGCCTGGAATGCTCTTCCATCAGATGTCCTCATAATATGAGGTTCATCCCTCACTCCTGTCAAGCTTTTACTGAAATGTCATCTTCTCCTTGAAGCCCTCCCTGGCCATGTGATCTAAAATTGGAGGATGCCCCCCTCAGAAAGAGTACTATTGCTCTTCCTTGCTTTATTTTCCACCTTAGCGCTTTTACTACCTCATATATATTTTATGTATTTATACTGTTTATTCTCTCAAACCTCCAACAAATTGTAAGCTCAATGAAATAAGGAATTTCATTATTCACTGCTCTGTCCCCAGTGAATAGAACAGTGTCTGTCACATAATAAATATTTTTGAATAAATGAATAAACAAGTGAGAGAGTGAATAAGTCCAAGAGTTACAAGACAGACCCAGTCCTTGACCTCATGAAGCTGATAATCTCCATATTAATAAATGGAGTAGATGAATTCTAATGGAGAAAAAAAAAAGAGTGAGAGTGAGAAAAGACAGGCACCAGAACGTTGTGGGTTGCCCCAGTAGTAAAAGCGGGTCCAGTGAAGGAAAGCCAAGCCTCTAATAAGGAAGTAGAAAGAAATGAGGATAATGCAATTATCTTAGAAGCAGAAGAAAGAAGGTTCAAGAATGAGAACTGTAAGTAGGACCTTGTAGCTATTAACAGTGATAGTCCTTTAAGAGTCAGTACACATCAGGATCCATGCAGAAACATTGCCAATTCCAAACTGGTTTCAGAAGGATGCAAGGCTAGGTGTGCAGTGAGACACAGCTATGTATTGTGCATAATCTGCACAATGTATGGACCTAGAAAGAATAATGCTATTTCTGTAAATGGCAACACAAGTTAAAAAAGAATGACCTGGTGATAATTTGTCATGAGAAGTTTTGCTGAAGCGTTCACAGTAGAGGAGTATTGTGGAGCAGACCTGTGTTGCTTGATTTGAAAGCCCTCGCCCCATATCCTGCTAAGGTTAGCATCACTTCTGTGGGTGACAGTCTACATGCGTGGTCATGACAGGTCTGAGACATCAACCAGCTGTTCTCAAGTCTTTGGTTTGACTTTCACTGGTTTTGGAAAAGTAAGTGTTTTTCTGTTTTGAATCAACAGGTTCCATTTTTTGGGCCTCTGTTTGATGGAGCCATAGTGAGTGGAAAGCTACTGCCAAGCCTTATATGTGCCACATGCATCAATGCCAGTAGGGCCGTGAAGTGCCTCATCCCGCTGTACCAGAGCTTGTATCTTTTTGCTTTGAGTGTAACCTATTAGCCGTCCCAGAATCCTGATTCCGGGCAGTTTGTCATGAGAGGTGAGTACTCACTGGGTTGAAGAGGGAAGAGAACATTTTTCAGTGCATGTTGAAAATAACATCGTGTGATCTTCGTACCATCTGTTAATTTAAATTAAATATAATAATATTTTGCTTCACCAAACTCCAGAAGAGTTTATTTTCATAATGTAGTCACCTAAGTCTGTGCTAAGAAGCTGTGACTGTCAAGAGCAGCTCGTCCCTTCTTAGTGTTTTGCCTGAGGTCGGGTGCCCCTCCGCCCATCCCTGTGGGTTGCAGTCTATTGTGCATAGAAGGTGGGATGCTGAGGAAACTGTAGCTGGGTCACCCAGAGTGCCCACCCGAAACCAACAGCAAATGCAGTGACTCTAATCAGTCAAAGAATGGGGCAAGTGCCACGGGAAATTCAAACAGCCTCCTAGGAGGTCAGAGGAGGGGGCGATTGCCTCTGGCTGGGGGGACAAGGAAAGGCACCCTCAGTGAAGGTGCACTGGAACTTGTCAGTGAGAATGGCTAAATGTCCTTTTGTAACTTTTCCCAAATCTTCACCGACCCTTGATCTTCTAAAACCAGAAGAAATTTCACTTTTGTAATTTTTTTCTCAGACATCAGTTGGCACACTTTAATCTCTAAGTCTAGGCATAATGTCTAATTATAACAAAAAGAAATTAAGGTGACTTCATAGAATTGCTGCAAAAGGCATCTGACCTCCTAGTAAAACTTAGAATCTCTTTGTTTCTAACTGGTATTGATAATGAGCATAAACATGTTGTGTTTGACCTCTCTCTATACTTCTCCTACTCCAACCGTAAGTAATGTGTTGCTGAAGGGTGGGGGTCAGGGTGGGTGATAAATATCATGTGTAAATAGATACAGTTCATGAAAAATACCTTTCATTAAAATCCTGGTCACTGCATTGACTGATATTCTGTCTTTAGATTAAAAAAAAAAAATACATATGCCATGTGGCAACTTGGAATTATCATAGAAATTAGTCATAGAAAAGAGCTATTAGGTCCCATCTGGTCCCTCCCTGGGGGCCAGGGCAGCATTATTCCCTTCTGCGTGCTCCCTTGCGCTTTGTCCAGGCCGATAGCGCGTGTTTGGGAGATGGCATTCTTCGAAGTGATATCCACAGCACTCTAGACTTACTCTTAGAGCTGGTGTCAATTCAGCCTTCAGCATGGGGGTTTTTATTTCACAAATGCTTGAAAGAGGTTCTTGGCAGAAATGAGAAAGACTTATTCAGCGATTGGCTTGTCAGTTTGCATGTCAACTAGGATGAGCTGGACACTCCTCAGTCAAGTATGTTGGACCAAAGCAAGGGAAAATCATTTGCAAACAAGAAAATTCTGCTTTCTATAAGTCCATTGTGATTTTTGTCACGTCACCTTCCCCACTTATCAAACTTCTCATTACAAAGTACATGCTTTGTTATTTTGTTCAACACTGCTTTCTCAAATAAGAATGAATATAGCATCAGAATAATCAGGTTTAGGGAAAACAATATTGTTACAAGTTCAAAGGATAAGATTCAGTGTCACTTGAAAACTTTTCGACAAACCACATTACACTAATGTGGATGCCAGCCAGGGCTACTGATGCTAATGTGGGTGAGTAAATGCTGTATTCTCCAGTGACTCATAAAATAGCCAGGTTGACATCTCAGAGGACAACTTGGTATAGAAATTAAAAAAGGGAAAATAACAAAACCTATCATGTCATTATTATAAAAATTCAAGTATTTTTCTTTCATCTTACACCCTGAGAAGATTCAATTTATGCTGTCCAAATAAATTACTTAAAACAAGAAATAAAATACTGTCTATAATTTTTATAAAGATGTAATCAACAGGGAAAACTTTGCAATCACTGAACTACTCTATTATTTCATTTCTGCCTGCAAAAGTGCTAATATAGGCCACAAACCAAAAGTATAATAAGAAAAGTAGAGAAAAGTAGAAAAAAAAAAAAGAGGGAGTTTTTTTGTTACTTTTGTTCTTTAAAACATTACTATTTACTAATTTTTACACTTTTCAAATAATTGTGTAGCAGCTGATGTCTGGAATTTGCTGCTTAGTTGAGATAAGTCTTAGGTCTGAATTTTGAAAAACACAGAATAACCTAACACATCCTAATCACAGGTGTCTCCTTGCATTCTCATTTAGCAAACAGTGTGGACTCGCGAACTGCCAAGCCCAGCACCAGGAGCTTAGGATATACAGGGAGCAAGGCAAACGGGGTTTTTGCCCTGTACTTCACAGAGAAGACACACAAACTGATACCATTGTATAAAGCAACTAAATAGAGGGTGTGGGTAAAACAGGACCAGGGAAAAGGCTATCTGCAGAGAAAGCATGTAGGCTGAGGTTGGAGGGATGACAGGGAAGCTGTCCCCAGGATGAAGGTTGGCATTCCAGGCAGAGGGCACCATAGCAAGCACAGGAGTCCGAGTGTTCTCAGGTGGTAAAGTTGGGCTTTTTAGCATTTAATGCATGGTCAGGCCCCTCAGAGTATAGACAGACACAAGACCAAGCTTCCAGCAGAGGTGGTTTTCTGGGTGACACCTGAGGCAGCTGAGCCTCCCCAACCCTGTCACCTCATGGCCCACCTTGAAAGTTCTAAAATTAGCACAGCATCAAGGCTGCCTGATGCCAGGGGCAACCACCCCAAGCCCCTGTAAGTCCCCCCAGGGGCTGAGAAGATCAGTAATACTTTGGACACATCTAAAACCAGGGCTGAGACCAAACGGTCCCAGAAGAGAATGAAAATGTGGGCCCCTCATTCAAAAAGCAAGGAAAGTGTCTTCAAACATGCTATAATATGAAGCTTTTTCCATTCTTTTGTGCTTTTTCTCTTGACTTGCCATGGCGTTTTTTATTTACTATTTAATGTCACTTTAAATCAAGAAATATTAAAAATTTAGATTATTAGCATTAGTTTTATATTGTCTTTATACTGTTTAATAGGCAAATATAAAAGCATTTAACTCATATGGAATCACCATGATGACACAGCTCATATTTTGTAACTCGTACATGAATATATTCTGTTCTTAACAGTGAAAACACTGCACAAAACTAACTTACCTATTTTTAGCTCATTCTTCATAGGCACATATTGAACCAGCATTCTTCCTTCAGTTCACTGATGAGTAAGGAAGACTGACAGGAAAAGGAACTTTGAGTCCCCCTGTTTTTCCCTCTCCTTCTCTGTCATCATTTTCAGAGTAAATTGTTGGCTAACACAGGGAAGTAACACAACTAAGGATATATAGGATTTCTTGGTTATTCTTGTTTCTTAGGACAACACTGCTTTTTTTCTGTGCTCAAAGCAAGGTCTGGTTCAGGTGGAGAGTATGGCCTCTTAGGATAGTCCACTTCCCTGCCTATTCAGTCTTGTGCTAACACACTTCCTCGTGTGCTCTCTTGGAGTCTCTCTGACCTTCCAGGCATTGTGGCTCCACCATAGTCCTGCTCCTGGGGCACTGCTAAGGCTTATGTGCAAGGAACCAGCAGAGCACATGTTATGTGCATTTCCTCTGCCCACGTGCATGTTCCATTGTCTCATCAGACTTCAAGTGCAAAACACAAGATCAAAGATAAAGTTATTAAGAACTTCAAGAGAGCAACAGCAGAGTATTAAACCAAGCAGGGCCCGTTGTAAGCACTGTGCAGCTGCTCAGGTCACATGCCCATGAAGCCCTCCCTGGAACCCATTCCAAACCCTCCCCCTACCCCCAGTATGAGCTGGGAAATTCTCTTCCTGGGTATTTATTAGACTTCATTCCCTTCCTAAAGCCTGACAGTATATCCCCTGGCAACATTGTATTGGCATATGAAACAAGACCCAATAAGGAATGAAGCAGCTTGCATGCATGGCCCTAGAAGACACAATTCATATAAGAGACCACATTTCTGAGAAAGCATTGCTATTACCTGTTGTCCTGAGATATTAGGTATAGTAATGAGTGCTGACAAAGAATGGGAAATTTCTTTGCCAACACCAGCCATTTTATATGGGCAACCTGTGTCCCCATTTTTTTTCTAATATTAAGGTTACAGTTGTTAAGTAGAACATTGCCAAACTGTTCATGGCATCCAAATGTCACTCAGGTATCCGAATGACTGTTGTATGAACAAAGGACACTTTTAGTTCAGACCTTCTTTCAATCCTTTAGAGAGGAAGTACTTGTTTTTTTGTATCGACCATAGATAGCCAAGCATTGAGCCTGATGACAAATGAAGAAAAGAGCCGAAGGAGTTATTTTGCATCTCTTGTGCCCTCCCCACCTAATGACTGACACTTCAGTGCCCTAAAATAGTGTCAGTTGCGACTCAGTATTTAACTAGGAGTAGAAATGTGAACAGTAAACGTATCAAGTTTGTCCGGTAATGTTCAAGAAAATACAACATTTCTTATGAAACAGAGGAGTGGGCACATTGTTAGAATGGATTTGCCTCCCTGGGATCTTTTTGAGCAGTAAATCCAGCTTAGAATCAATATCAAAGGAGTTCTTGTTTGGGGTACCCTTGGCTAAGTGATCAAACAGTTGAAACTGTGTGGTGAAGGCTCACAGAAGACTGAAGAATATACCATTGTCGTACGTGATCCAAAAAAAGTGAACACAGTAGGGATGTGTTTGGAAAGCACCCTCAGTAACAGTTCAGCCCAGCCCCTTTGTCCTTCCTGGGTTTTCTGGTAACTTCCTCAGCAGGCTAAATCAAATCTGTCAAGTGGAGCGCTTGTCCCGTGGCCACCGCTCTTCTGAGTGACGAGGGCCAACTCACCCACCATCTGCTTTTTCTGTCCCTCGTGGGCAGTCAGGGCTCCTCTTCCCGTGCCTAGAGTGTTGTAAATGGGAAGCTTGCCACATGTTATGTTTACAGTTCCCAAGCCAACTAAAGATTCCAAAATCAAACCATGCTTGGCTGGTGGAAGTTCCCCAGGTCGTCAGAGCCAGGGCTCTCTCGTTCTCCTCAGCTGACTTGTTTCAGGGAAAAGGTTGCCACATGATGCG